TGGCGACGCTGGGCCAATTGTGCGCCGCCCCATGGATCTCCTGGTCGCGGCCGGCTACGACAGAGCCTGGATTCGAACCAGGATCTCTAGTGGCACAGCTAGCACTGCGATGCAGTGCCTTAGACCACTGCGCCACTCGGGAGGTTAGTATTGTGTGTGTCAGAAAGAGAGAGCGAGAGAGAGAGAGAGAGAGAGGAAGACAAAAAGACAGTAAGAGAGAGTCAAACGATCCAACTGGGGTCCTACAAAAGCAAAGTCTGAGACAAGGACACTGGTACTGTAAGTTGTTGTCATTACACATAGTCTGAGATATCGCGTGGGTTAGCTTGACTCATATCCCTGAGCATGTGTGCCAAATGTCACCACTCTGAGTCAAACAGATCAAGAGATATAAACATGTGCCCATTACTGCACCACCGTGCAGTCAATATTAATGTTCTTACATATGTTGAGTCTTGACAGTATTTGCAACATGTACCAAATTGTGTTACAATATCCTTGATTTATATGCATTTATGTGCCAGACCACGCCCACGTGAATGTTTATTGCTCAATAGCGGCCATGTTGTTTTAGGTATTGTCTGGAAAATATTGCGTTGAGACCTTTTTCCATAGATGCCACATATAACGTTTTGTGCAGATAGGTCCCAGAAGAGTAGCGGTTTAAGTGTTTTTCAAAAAATTCAAAATGGTGAAAAATCCATCATGGCGGACCTTATGGGTCCCTGAGGCAAATGTGTTCCTTGTGAGAAGAAGGACCTATGTACTGAATTGCATGACTTTAAGTCAAACAAGGTGAGGGGGCGTGACATTTCAAAGTTTGCATTTTCAATCTCTTGTTATAGCACCAAGATCTGACCAATCATTGTAATTTTGTAAATGCTGGTTCTCTATGGCAAGATGCATCATTCACCCAAGTCTTCTCAAAATCGGGACAGTGCTGTCTGAGATATCGCGTGACTAACGAACATACGAACGCATAGGGTGTGCAAAGCTGTCATCAAGGCAAAGGGTGGCTATTTGAAGAATCTCAAATATATTTTGATTTGTTTAACACTTTTTGGGTTACTACATGATTCCATATGTGTTATTTCATAGTTTTGATGTCTTCACTATTATTCTACAATGTAAAAAATAGTGAAAATAAAGAACAACCCTTGAATGAGTAGGTGTGTCGAGGACATTTTGACTGGTACTGTAAGTTGTTGTCATTACACATCATGGGTGGCGCACAATTGGCCCAGCGTCGTCCAGGATAGGGGAGGGAATGGCCGGCAGGGATGTAGCTCAGTTGATAGAGCATGCCAAGCCATTGGGGGTTCGTCATATTGCATTCTCATACATCTCAGCAGATACAGTACATGTACTGAAACAAAGCCATATTAGTGCTCTGTCTCCCAGAGGTCATATTGCATTCTCATACATTCAGCAGCCCCACTGAAAGTGATCCCCTCTCAGTTCTCGATCCAACACTAAGACTGTCCACAGCACTAGCCTGGCCTTGTTAGAACAGTCTGCCTTGTCTAGCCTACACCCCAGGTTGGGAAATACAGTGAAGTCTCAATGGTTTCTATTTGGAGCTAATGATAGAGTTTAGCATAGCTACATCAACACTTATGTACTGTCATTACAAACCTGTAATGTAGTGCTGGTCTTTTCCTAGTCCATTGTTCTTACAGAATATCCTAGTCCCACTCACCTGACATTCATGATTGACATTGGGAGGACAGGTGAGCTGCAATCCGTGCTACATTAGGTTGGCCTTCCTACTGAGACAAGTTGGGCAGGTACAGTAACGTGGTATTTACAGTGTCACAGATGATTTCGTAAGGAAAATATAATTTATGACAAGCTCGCAAAGACAAACAAAGCCTAGGTGTCTTTCATCAAGGTTGGGTGGTTTATGTTGTAGCTGTACAAACAGGAACAGGTCTGGGCTCTTACAGTGTGACTGACATCAATATATGATCTAGCCCCTAGACTGTATGTTCTCGCTAGGATATGAAGTAATTGAGCAAACATTCTCCTCATAATCATCATCAATTATTTATCTTTGGAGCAGCATACTTCACACATGCTAGATACTGCGCTTATGGAAAGTGCAGAAACAGTTATTCTTAGACAGTTACGTAGAAACACAATTGCGCATTAGAAACACAGCACACATAACACACTCTCTCACCCATTTGACCTTTACAGCACAACTTACTAAGCAGTCTGACCACACACTCCCAGTCCCAGCTGGCTACACTACATCAGCTGCTTTAATGGGGAACCTCATAGAATTGAAATAGCGAGCTGGCTTTCTTTTCTAATGCTTCATCCTCTATTGACGCAGAAAAGAGAACAGCTATTATACCGCAATCTATAATTTCTTGGAGTCCCGGTTTGAACAAAATGCTCTGATTCACAAAAACCAAGACAATGTAGTTGATTAGAGAGAAATGTTGTATGAGCCATTATGTGCATGACTGAGCAGCCAAAGCATTTTGCAACTCTAGGAGAAAATTATTGAAACGTGTAGATAAAATGAGCTAAATCTGTACAGCATAGCCTGTTCCCAGAGAGTGTAATAAAGCTCTAGGCTGAAGAGGTTTTAGCCTCAGTGTATTGCAGAAGATAGGCCCTACGTGGTTATTTTAGAGGTTTCCTTATCAACTACTAAAAATACACACTCTTTCTTTAATAATGTTATAAGAGGCAATAACCAGCAATGAATTTCAAACCTACTGAGTCAGGATTTGGAAGCAAAATATCTTTATTAGTATTTTTTTATTATTTAATTCCTACCGGCTATGCACCAACTGGATCATGCTTCTTTCAAACTTACTACCTTCAAGACCAAAAGTGAAGGCATGATGCTACATAATTTAATAATTATTATATTTTACCAATAACAGGTTGACATTTTCTTAAGTAATACATTATAAATTATTTATTAACATTTGTAATTAAATGTTTTACACATTTAGTCATGGTCAGTTAAGTGCTATAATTGGATACCATTATTTATTTACTGATGCTTAGGTGACTGCACCCTATATGGCCTTCTGCTCTAATTAATGACAAGTAGGCTAGTAGCCCATATAGGTTTCAATGTCGGGTCATGACTCAGTAACTTCCTACAAATGACAACAAGATGGCAGTAGTATGGTATTGAAGTCACATTTTACTGTAGTCTATCTGTGTGAAATAAAGCACTATAGTAGCCTATTTGTAATCTCCATTATGACAAAGTAAAACATATTTTCTGAAGATTGTTGAAATTATGTTTTGAATTGTGACTGTATAATTAAGGGTTAGTTATCTTTTTCCATAACTTTTCAATTCACATTTAAGATGCAATATGCAGAAATCGCTCCGCCATTTACTGGTTGCTGAAATTGTAATAGTTCGTCTAATTTCAGTTTGTGACAAAACAAGCAGTCATTGGGTAGAGAATCATTGTACCATCTAAACCGCTGTGATATACATTTTCCATAACCAAAAATATTGTATTTTCAGCTGTTTGATGCTGGTGTACAAAACCGAAAGTAAAAACTAAACTTAAGTGGCACAAGCAGGAACCAATTGGAGGGGGGGGGGGGGGGGGGGGGGGGGGGGACAATGGGATACTCGAGAGAGAGGGGTGGGCGCGCTTTCCTGCAGATGTACGAATGGCCACATGCAGGAACGCCCGAATTATGGGCTGCAGTTGCACACCATTGCTTCTTACACTTGTTTTCAATTAGAATGACAGAACTATCATTCCATTTCTATGTGAATTTCTTTGTAGCTTTAAAGGCTTAATTATTTCACCTCAACCTCTATGACATAGACAAGACAGGTAGGCTGCACGTGTCTTACCTTTGCTGGGACGATGCACAGGAACATGCACCACACACATCGTCTGTCAGAAAATAAGATTCTGAGTCAACATAATCAAAGGAAATCTAAAAACACTTTGGATAGGTCGAGGACACCATGTAACCATCGACATTAACATAATTACACAGTAGGCTAGCTATACTCTGTCTAACTCCAACAATTAGCCTATGCCAGTGCTCCCCAGAACATCGTTTATTGTAATATAATACCTGCTGTTCTCTGAAATGGCACCGTTACTGCATATCGCTTCCTCTCTCGTCTTCATCGCAGTCCTTTAGGTGTGTGCTCATCTAGCCCATGCGCTCTCCCTAGACAGGTGTTTATATTTACTCAAGCGTTACGTCATGCACAGCCCTCACGTTTTACTTGAAAGAGGTCTCGCGCTGAGATCCTGCCTGAAAAGGTTTCAATCTTGTAGAGAGAAGTATCAGGTTACACTTGCTTACTTTTTATGTGATGTTGTTTTGTACCGTTTAATTGTGATGGGATAATTGTAGTTGCATAGTTGCAGCATGCTATGAACTTAATTTCAATTACTGGATCTTTGTACTTTTAATAACATTGTCTACTGTATATGATTTGGTTGCAATTAGTGTTGAACTCATTCAAAAAAAAAAATGTCAGTGAGATACTCTTTGATTGTCAATATAATACTTTAATATACTGTGAATGTAACTTTTATTCATAACAGCATTATATGTTTAGAGAAATCTCTACATACCAGTGTATGTCCGGGCACAGCTTTATAAAAACCAAATGAGTAACATAAAATAAAATATGGACTGAGGAATTTATAAGTACCACTTTCAGGTCAGTCCAATTATTGACCTCTTCAAAATTATATACAGTACTAAATAGGCTACTGTATTTCCTCGAAAATTACAACTCAATATTAAAACTAATAATATACATATTTGTTGACAAAATAAGACAGCTGAAAAGTCCAATATGAATCAAATTTCAAACACAATTGGGAAAAATACATATACAATTATTTCATAATAACATAAAAATTATGTGGAGGACATACAGTAATTTATCTCATAACAAAACAGAAAAGTAGTCTTTTATAGTTTGTAGGTTGTTGTTAAGACTAGCAACAGAGGTCTTAAAACTATCAAACAAAGTTTTTATTCCTCTTTCCTGGGCTCAGGCACCGACAGACTTGAGGGCAGGACATCGGGCTCCTAAAAATACAAAAAAGAGCAAACTTTAAACTTAACTCAACGCAATTATACATAAATTAATGTAGTCTGAGAAGGACAAAGGCTTGGAGCTCCAGGGAGGGGCAGCCAGTGACATGACTGTTCAGATGGCAGGCCAGAGTGACCTTGAGCAGCGCCTCAGTACGTTTGGAGAGGAGCTGAGAAGAAACGGATCAACAGAGACATCTACAGTAAGTACTAGACTCTCAATGGAATTGGAACACTCTACAATAAGCTTTTGTTCTGACACTGAGTGTGTTTTTTCCCCCGTGTGGCCTGGTAAACAATCCTAGCTGCTTATCCCACCTCTTAGACACCTTGACCTGTGACACGTCCCCTCCCTGAGAGACGGTGCCGGTGTGCCTGCGTGTCAATGATGTGCCTGTCCCTGGGAGCCAGTGGGGAACACTTTGTATCTCCTTGTTAATAGCCTGAGTGCACGTCTTTTACCATAGTTATTCCTGAAGGACTCTGTACCGGGCCTATACCGTATTGTACAGGTTGTTGACATATGTAAAGCATGTACAGCAGTGTCTTCTTTCGAGTTTCTCGGTATTGACTGGCACACTCAGTTCTGAGTCTTGATTGATTATGTACATTGTGTCTTCTCTGCTGAGCACAGGGCAGTGACAATAGAGATTGGGTGAAGGACAAAGGCTTGGAGCTCCAGGGAGGGGGGGACCTGTGCGGTGTCCCAGCCAGTGACATGACTGTTCAGATGGCAGGCCAGAGTGAACCTGAGCAGCGCCTCAGTACGTGTGGAGAGGAGCTGAGAAGAAACGGATCAACAGAGACATCTACAGTAAGTACTAGACTGTCACATAACATAGTGTTATAACATGATGTTAAGTGGGGAGTGACCGCGACAGTGTCATATTACAGTACGTAGACTCCCTACTGTAATATGACACTGTTGCAATATGACACTGTCTCAGTCCCTCCCCACTTAACACCATGTTATAACACTATGTTATGTGACAGTCTAGTACTTACTGTAGATGTCTCTGTTGATCCGTTTCTTCTCAGCTTCTCTCCACACGTACTGAGGCGCTGCTCAGGGTCACTCTGGCCTGCCATCTGAACAGTCATGTCACTGGCTGGGACACCGCACGGGTCCCCCCCTCCCTGGAGCTCCAAGTCTTTGTCCTTCACCCAATCTCTATTGTCACTGCCCTGTGCTCAGCAGAGAAGACACAATGTACATAATCAATCAAGACTCAGAACTGAGTGTGCCAGTCAATACCGAGAAACTCGAAAGACACTGCTGTACATGCTTTACATACGTCAACAACCTGTACAATACGGTATAGGCCCGGTACAGAGTCCTTCAGGAATAACTATGGTAAAAGACGTGCACTCAGGCTATTAACAAGGAGATACAAAGTGTTCCCCACTGGCTCCCAGGGACAGGCACATCATTGACACGCAGGCACACCGGCACCGTCTCTCAGGGAGGGGACGTGTCACAGGTCAAGGTGTCTAAGAGGTGGGATAAGCAGCTAGGATTGTTTACCAGGCCACACGGGGGAAAAAACACACTCAGCCTCAGAACAAAAGCTTATTGTAGAGTGTTCCAATTCCATTGAGAGAAAATGGTATATACATTCTCAGAGAGGAGTACACCTCCCCTTTCCTGTGTTATTCAACAGTCTCAAAGCTGACCCTAAAGGACATGGGAAAACAGCAGACTGGAGAGTTCATCCGAGGGTAGCCAAATGTTTAGAGATAGCACTGCCAGTGAAACATGGATCACTTTTAATCATCTTGTGATGAGATATTCAATTCTACTGCAAAGTATTTTTTAAAGTAGTCCTATGCTTTGAACTTAAATACAAGTATCAAAGCAATTAACATTTGAGCCTCAAAATGTTGAGAAAAGCAACTACTTTGCTTTTTGTCATTCAGTGTAGTGAGCTGTGAAGATACACTATCCTTGTAGGATAAATAAAGTATTTAGAATTGAATTTAATTAGATAAATATCCAGATTACTACTGTATGTTCTAATATAGAGAAAACAGAGTCTAATAGAAAGAACATGACACAAAACATCTGCAACTACTCACCTTATCCCTATCTGTTCCTTTAGGATCTTTAACTAAAAAGCGGCTTGTGAATGGGTAGAATGGTGGCGAGCGAGGAGATGGTGAGGTGGACCCAGTGGATAAGGACTGGGACCTTTTGACCGCCGAAGATACAGCTTGGGCAAAGCGGGATGGGGTAGTAGGAGAGTAGGGTTTGGGAGCAGTAAAACTCCTCAGTTTCTCCAGGCTCAGTCCTGGGGATGGGGGCGCCCTGAAGGGACTGGGCTGTGGAGGGGGTACACTTCTGTTCTCTTCCTCCTTTGGCCTCAGCTCTACATCAATTACTTCAGCGCCCTCTGATGTCTCCTCGTCCCATTGCACCGGAGGAGGAGGAGGGGGGAAGCTGCCCCCTACTGGCTGCAGGGCCTGCGCTGCTGCTGCCACTAGACTGCCTGGAGCCTCCCTCTGGCCAGCGTCAGGACTGGCACTCAAACTTTTCACTGCAGCTGAGGTTACATAATAACCAGGTGTTCTTTTGTGCTGTGGCAAGCGGAAAGAGCCAGGCTTGGGTTTAGTTGCGGGTGGAATTTTCATCTCCTTGACCTCTGCTATTGAGCCTGCTTGGTCTCCACCACTAGCAGGGGATGGAATCTTGTCATCTCTTGCAGGAAGTATTGTTGTTGGTGTTGAGGGGGAGTGAATAGACTCGATCACGTTGCCATTTACAGTGCTCTCACTAGTAGTAGTGCTGTGGACTTGCTGAAACTGAGAGTCTTCCCTAGGTACAGTAGACGGCAGCTCTGTCTGTTCTGTTCTGACCTGTAACTGCTCAGCCTGTGTAGTGCAGTCTTTGAGTTCAAGTGAACCAATGTCTACTTCCTTCTCTAGAGCCACATGAGGGGACTCCAACGTCAGCGCCACCTCAAAGTATCTCAGTTTCTCCAGAGTCTTCTGAGGCACGATAGTGTACGTAGTCATCCCCACCTTGGGGATGTAGTCCCTGGTCAGCTCATTGGATGGCTTCGGTGGGGCTGGGGCACTTTCAGTGGACATTTGGCCCTGATGGGCTGCAGAGGCAGGAGATAAGGCAGGTGTGATGGGTTCAGCAGTGGTCAGCAGCTCCTCTGTGGATGTGGACATGTCCCTCTTCTGCCCCACCGCTCCAGAGGTAGAGGCTTTGGCAGGGGGAGGCACTTCCTGTTGTTGGGGTGGTGACACGGGACATGGCGGCGTGAGATTAGTTTGGACCTGGGCATCTTCAGCAGGGAGAAAGGGGGTGCTGGTGGCCACTGGTCGTTCATCACAGGACGGGTCAGAGTCCAGATGATCTGAGGCCTGTGTTCCTGTGCTCTGTGTCACCGGCTGGGCTGCTGGTGGGTTGATAGTAGGAGAGCTCTCAGTACTGCATTCACCTTTGGCCCCATCTTGTGTTGTGGAATCTTCACATGGAAAACCTGTCTGACCACTTATTTCCTCAGCTTGGTATGGAGGGCTTTCTGGAGAACAAAAAAACATGATTTAGTACAAAGTAGACATGGATTTTGCCAACATTGCTACAAAAGCTATAGCATTAAATCCATAGTTAACGCATTAGGAACTTGAATTCATCACTACTTGTAAACCTACCAACATCTGCTGCTTCAGATGTGTCCATCTCCACACTCAGCATGGGAACCGTGCACTCAGCGTTTTTCACCATGCTGTGCACTAATCTGTCAAAAACAGGAGTTAAGAAAAGCAATGCAAAAACCCAAGTCAAAGAGGCACTACTTAATTCATAGTGTAGGACTATCTGCTAGAGTTCGTACTTGCCATCTGAGGACAGATCACAAGACTGATCTTCCCCCGCTGGGTACTCGCTCTCGGGTGGTGGGGAGTTCTCCATCTCAGCGTGCGGGGCGTCCGGGGGTGGAGAGACACCCTCGGTTCTCTCAGAGTCCACAGAGATGTCTGCTGTTGACAGGTTGAGGCTGCTGTCGTCCTCCTGGACATCACTCATAGAGTCTAGGACTACAGAGGCAGTTGTCTCCTCCTGCTCCATAATCTCTTCCAGTGTAGTAGGTTGGCCACCTGCAGCACAACAGGAGGGAAGATGACAAGAGGACATTTTCAGTTGAGAATCGTAAAAATTGAAGAAACAAAATCTGCATTGTCTCATCTAAGTTGCGATGAAGAACAACAGTAGAACTGTAGTGTGATGAGTAATGGTGATGTGATGGGGAGGAGAATGTGGTCTCTAGCCATTCGGTCAGACTTTCAATATTAAAGAGAATCAGTTAATTCAGCAAATACTGTAAATAAGAGAAGTACTCCTCCACTTCAGAATGAAGCAGCAGGTATATACAATGCCTTCAGAAAATATGAACACCCCTTGACTTTTTCCACATTTTATTGAGTAACAGTCAGAATTTTAAATGGATTAAATTGCGATTTTGTGTCACTGGCCTACACACAATACCCCATAATGTCAAAGTGGAAGTATGTTTTTCAAAATGTTTACAAATTAATTACAAATTAAAAGTATTCAACCGCTTTTTTTATGGCAAGTAAGTTCAGGAGTAAAATCTGCTTAAAAAGTCACATAAGTTGCATGGACTCACTCGCAATAATAGTGTTTAACATTATTTTTGAATGACTACCTCATCTCAGTGCCCAACACATACAGATAATTGTGAAGGTCCCTCAGTCAAGCAGTGAATTCCAACCACAAATTCAACCACAAAGACCAGGGATGTTTTCCAATGCCTCGCAAAGAAGGGCACCTATTCGAAGATGGGTAGAGATGTTTTTAAAAAGCAGACACTGAATATCCCTTTGAGCTTGGTGAAGTTATTAATTACACTTTGGATTGTGTATCAATACACCCAGTCACTACAAAGATAAAGGCATCTTTCTTAAATCAGTTTCCGGAGAGGAAGGAAACCGCTCAGGGATTTCACCATGAGGCGAATGGTGACTTTAAAACAGTTTGAGTGTAATGGCTGTGATAGGAGAGAACTGAGGATGGATCAACAACATTTTAGTTACTCCACAATACTAACCTAATTGACAGAGTGAAAAGAAGGAAGCCTGTACAGAATAAAAATATTCCAAAACACGCATCCAGTTTGCAACAAGGAACTAAAGTAATACTGCAAAAAATCTGGCAAAGCAATTCACTTTGAACAAAAAGTTATGTTTTGGGAAAATCCAATACAACACATTACTGAGTACCACTCTCCATATTTTCAAGCATAGTGGTGGCTGCATAATGTTATGGGTATGCTTGTAATCGTTAAGGACTGGGGAGTTTTTCAGGGAGAAAAAAGAAACTGAATGGAGCTAAGCACAGGCAAAATCCTAGAGGAAAACCTGGTTCAGTCTGCTTTCCACCAGAAGACAGTGAATGTTCCTGAGTGGCTGAGATACAGTTTTGACTTAAATTGATGTGAAAATCTATGGCAAGACATGAAAATGGTTGTCTAGAAATGATCAACAACCAATTTGACAGAGATTGAAGTATTTTGAAAAGAATAATGGGCAAATGTTGCACAATCCAGGTCTGGAAAACTCTTAGAGACTTACCCAGAAAGACTCACAGCTGTAATCGCTGCCAAAGGTGATTCTACAAAGTATTGAATAAGTGTGTGAATACCGACAGTGCTGTGAAAAAGTATTTGCCCCATTATTTCAAATGTTCTCTACTTTTGCAAATGAGGTTCTTACTGTGGAATGCAGTGTTTGTTTTCACCAGGCATAAATGGGACCCATGTCGTCCAAAAAGTTATACTTTTGACTCATCTGTCCATAGAACATTCTTCCAAGAGTCTTGATGATCATCCAGGTGCCTCCAGGTGATTTTTGACAAACTTGAGTCAACTTTTTGGACGAGATGCGTCTCATTATGTCTGGCGAAAACCAAAACACTGCATTCCACAGTTTGAATGGTGGTGGTAGTGTGATGGTTTGGGGATGCTTTGCTGCCTCAGGACCTGGACAACTTGCCTTAATAGAAAGAACCCTGAACTCTGCTCTGTATCAGATACTTCTACAGGAGAATGCCAGGCCAGCCTCTATGAGCTGAAGCTGAAGTGCAGCTGGGTCATGCAGCAAGACAATGATCCAAAACACACAATCAAGTCCACATGAAAATGGTTAAAAGCAACAAATTTGAAGTTTTGGAATGGCCTAGTCAAATTCCAGACCTAATCCCAATTGAGATGTTGTGTCAGGACTTGAAACAAGCAGTTCATGCTTGAAAATCCACAAATGTCACTGAGTTAAAGCAGCTCTGCATGCAAGAGTGGGCCAAAATTCCTCCACATCGATGTGAGAGACTGATCAACAACTACATTAAGCATTTAGTCATTGCAGCTAAAGGTGGCACAACCAGTTATTGAGTGTAAGAGGTAATTACTTTTTCACACAGGGGAATTGGGTGTTGCTTAACTTTGTTAATTAAATGAATAAAATAAGTATCTTTTTTTGTTATTTGTAAACTCAGGTTCCCTTTATCTAATATTAGGTTTTGGTTGAAGATCTGATAACATTCAGTATAAATAAATATGCACAAATAGAGAAAATCAGAAAGGGGGCTAATACTTTTTCACGGCACTATGTAAATTAAATATTTCTGTATTTCATTTTCGATAAATTTGCAACATTTTCTAAAAATATGTTTTTACTTTGTCATTATGGGGTATTGTGTGTAAATGGGTGAGAAACAAAATCAAGTTAATCCATTTTGAATTCAGGCTGTAACACAACAAAATGTGGAATAAGTCAAGGGGTATGAATACTTTAAGGCACTGTAAACTGATAGAAAGCTGATTTAGTATTACTAACATCACTTTCACAATCACACAACAGCAAACATAATATTATTGTGTTAGGGATACTTCAGACAAGTGAATTGGGCTTAATGAAGACATCTAGCATCTCATATTCCCCTTTAGTTCTTCAAGGCCATCACAGAGAAATAGAGAGCAGAAGCAATATTCAGCAGGCTGGTTATATAAAGCAGAGACTCCTCACTGTGCAGCCTGTGATATCTAACTGAAGTGAACAGCCGTTGGACGTCAGGGAGAGACATCCAGAATCTGGGCCTGATCTTTCTCTGTGAAGTCGATTATGTGAAGCCAGCGGGGGAGGGAGGGCAGATGGAAGATGTAGCATTACAAGCAGAGAGCAGTCAAATCTTTAGGAGGACACTTGTTTTATTCATACGATCTGGGAGAATTGGCTAGTGTGGTATTCAAATACTGAACTTACAAATTAAGTTTCTATGAAATACACTCAGGTCTGACAACACAATGAGTTGAAGTAAAAAGAACATGTGGAAAGCATAACTGGAGACTTCAAACATGTTACAAAAGACAGGAACAGAATAGAAACAAGTAGCAAAAGAGCCATTTGAAACTACAAAAACAAAATTCAGAATAAACAAAAAAGAGGAAGATGCCTAGATCCAACACAAAGTCTCCCGGGGCTGTCTGTATTGCTGAATAACTGGGAGTGATTAGAATGACTGGGAGTGATTAGAATGTACTTCATGTACACTACCAGTCAAAAGTTTGGACACACCTACTCATTCAAGGGTTTTTCTTTATTTTTACATTGTAGGATAATAGTGAAGATGTCAAAACTATGACATAACACATATGGAATCATGTAGTAACCAAAAAAGTGTTCAACAAATCAAAATATATTTTATATTTGAGATTCTTCAAATAGCCACCCTTTGCCTTGATGACAGCTTTGCACACTCTTGGCATTCTCTCAACAAGCTTCATGAGGTAGTCACCTGGAATGCATTTCAATTAACAAGTGTACCTTCTTAAAAGTGAATTTGTGGATTTTTTTCCCTTCTTAATGCGTTTGAGCCAATCAGTTGTGTTGTGACAAGGTAAGGGGGTATACAGAAGATTGCCCTATTTGGTAAAAGACCAAGTCCATATTGTGACAAGAACAGCTCATATGAGCAAAGCGAAATGACAGTCCGTCATTACTTTAAGACATGAAGGACAGTCAATACGGAACATTTCAAGAACTTTGAAAGTTTCTTCAAGTGCAGACGCAAAAAACATCAAGCGCTATGATGAAACGGGCTCTCATGAGGACCACCACAGGAATGGAAGACCCAGAGTTACCTCTGCTGCAGAGGATAAGTTCATTAGAGTTACCAGCCTCAGAAATTGCAGCCCAAATAAATGCTTCACAGAGTTCAAGTAACAGACACATCTCAACATCAACTGTTCAGAGGGGACTGTGTGAATCAGGCTTTTGGTCTGTAGTCCAAATTGGATTTTTTTTGGTTCAAACCGTCGTGTCTTTGTGAGATGCGGTGTGGGTGAACGGATGATCTCCGCATGTGTAGTTCCCACCGTAAAGCATGGAGGAGAAGGTGTTATGGTGTGGGGGTGCTTTGCTGGTAACACTGTCTGATTTAGAATTCAAGGCACACTTAACCAGCATGGCTACTACAGCATTCTGCAGCAATACCCCATCCCATCGGGTTTGGGCTTAGTGGGATTATCATTTGTTTTTCAACAGGACAATGACCCAACACACCTCCAGGCTGTGTAAAGGCAATTTTACCAAGAAGGATAGTGAGGGAGTGCTCCATCAGATGACCTGGCCTCCACAATCCCCCGACCTCAACCCAATTGAGATGGTTTGGGATGAGTCAGACGGCAGAGTGAAGGAAAAGCAGCCAAAAAGTGCTCAGCATATGTGGGAACTCCTTCAGGACAGTTGGAAAAGCATTCCAGGTGAAGCTGGTTGAGAGAATGCCAAGAGTGTGCAAAGCTGTCATCAAGGCAAAGGGTGGCTATTTTAAGAATCTCAAATATAAAATATTTTGATTTGTTCAACACTTTTTTGGTTACTACATGATGTGTATTTTCATAGTTTTGATGTCTTCACTATATTCTACAATGTAGAAAATAAATGAGTACAAATAAAGAAAAACCCTTGAATGAGTAGGTGTGCCCAAACTTTTGACTGGTACTGTATGTTTAAACTTTAAAGATCACTAAAGATCACTCTTCTCTCACAGAAAGCATGCAACCCAATCTAAGCTAGTCAGTAACAAATAACAGATATAACCAAAAGCCGGTATTCAATCAATAGCAGTTAGTGGATTTCCGGATAGTGCTTTCAGAGGTGTTTCACTTGAATAACAGTGTGTCTGATTTACATCACTTTATAATTATAAACCCATATAAACCATCTACGCTTTTTTGTATGATAAAAATTGGGTCAAAAGTCTGGAAACTCTGTCTTTTAATGTATCTCAACTAAGTATTGCATGTATTTATGTCTGTATTATTGTGTTCAAGAGTGTATTTTTTACCAATTTGATCATGTTGAAGTACATTGAAAAAGGAGCCAATGAAAACTCATGCAGGAAGGCTTAAACATGCAGCACGAAAACCAACAGAATAGCACATTTTCATCCGACTGACCAAAAGCGTGAGGAGGAAAAGCAGCAGGCCAGTGCAGGAAGAAGAGGAGATGCTTGAGGAGGAGGTAAAAGAGGTAGCAGAGCAGAGTGGGTAGAAGAGACAACAGGAAGCTTCAGCAGCGCAGAATCTCCCTCAGACACCCTCCTCTGGTGACTTGCAGGCTGCAAGTTTAGAGAGGAACTACTTATAGAACATGGTCTTTACCCTTATGGAGGAACATAAGAATGCAAGGACCATATATATATATATCCCATGATATCACAAACATTTTTGCAACTCTGAATTGTATTCAAACTCTCAAGGAGTACTGCTGGCTCCACAAGCTTAGCGATTCGTTCTGTAACCGTTTCATATTGACCACTAGGAGGCATCAGAGTCAAATACAATGACCAATCATTGGTCTTATTTACTATTCTCAGTTGTTGACTTTAGAGACCAAAGTACAAGATATGTACTCAAGGTCTCAAACCAGGAGAAAGAGCAACTAAATCACCAACATCCAAAAAATTTGCCTAAAGATGCTATTTTCCAAGTAACTCCCTAATGTAAGAAAATGTACACCTGAAATACAGTATGTAGATAGGGGGTTGAGCACAAGCCAATTAAATACAGTACGTATGAATCCAGTGAAACCTTTCTTACCTCTATCTAGCAAAGCTTCATCTTGGACTACCACTCCAGGAGATGCGGGGGGTGGAGGAGCCTTGCGCTTTGTCCTCTTCAAGGAAGACTCTGTGCTGCGACTCAGACCAGTAATCTCCACAACAGAAGAGGAAAAACCAGTTACAGATTTAGTTGAAGTATGCAAAGGAGTAACCTACCTGAAATTATTGATTTACTTGTCTAGGATTTAAATTTTAAAAAATGCATCACGAGCCATTTCTCTGGATATCTATTTCTCATGAGCATCCAGACTTACAGACAGACCTGGTAAAGCCAGAACACAGATCCAGTTGGGTTAAGTCCCACTCACCTGGTCACTGTCCGTTTGGGTTTCGGGCTCCGAGGCTGAGATGGACCTCTGACGATGGCTCAGGTTAGAGGGGCAGCTCTGGGACACCAGCATGGGGGGCAGAGGAGCCCGTCTCTTCTTTGGCATGTCAGAAGGCATGGTGCTGCAGTTGAATGTGGAGGAGTGGGCACTGAGTGAGCTCATGCTGAGAGGTCGAGGCTTGCTAGGGAAGACTGGGGACGCCGGGGCACTGGCAGTCATTCCCTTTAAAGAGCAAACAAACATCCAATCAGATCAAAGGCCTGTTTTCTGCAGTAAGCAAAGAGAAAACTATCCAATCACAAGGCTGTGACAATATCCCCTTGCCCCGCTCCAACACCCACGTTTAACTCATAATCAGACAAAACTGACCTGTAAATGAAGAGTACACACCTGCTCAGGTTTTTTCTTACTTCTCCTGAATAGACTGAACATTCCCTTGTTTTCTTTCTCCTTCTGGGTTTTATCTTCACTGGGTGGAATGGTATCTGTTAGGAATATATAGATCTTACTGACAACGTTTCTTAAATTCCTGTCAAAGTATTGATGAACTTGACTTCAAATGCATCATGTCAGTGGTAAATGGAAATCGCAAAATAAAACCCATGTAAAAACATAGCTAATAAATTCATGTTACATTACCTCGATGACCTTGATGAGTTGGTGTAGTAGGTGAGGCAGGTACATCTGCTGAGTACATAGCTATGAAAGAGAAGATGGAAATGATATTCGGTAGTAAATGCACCTGTGTAATTGTAAAATGAATGAATGGTGAATAGTGTTCATTCAGAATAAGTCTCTTGTTGACAGATTTAACACACAAGATTTGGCTCTGGGTGCCGAGATTAGTTCAGAATGTATGGTATTTATTCAGATTAATGAATGTTTTGAAGGCTGATGGTTTTAGAGAAGCCCTTACCAGTTGTGTCCCTTGCATAAACCTCCCTTATTGCAAAATCATTGAGAGAACAGGTCAAATCCAAAGGATCCTCAGATTGGGCATCTCTCAATAAAAGTGTGCTCAGTCTGTCAAATTCACATTTCTCACAAATAGCTGGTAAGAGGTCTTCAAGGGGGACTCGAGGGCTGACTCTTAGTATAGTTTTCTGGGTCTTTTTATAGTTTATTACCAGACGGACAGTTGCCTGGAGAGTCAAAGAAATTAGATTATCAGACCTCATTACTATCCTCATTAAAAACTGCTAGAAAAAGTACTTAAAGAACACACACACACATATATATACACACACATACACGTATATATATATATATATAGTAAGGGAAAAAAGTATTTGATCCCCTGCTGATTTTGTACGTTTGCCCACTGACAAAGACATGATCAGTCTATAATTTTAATGGTAGGTTTATTTGAACAGTGAGAGACAGAATACCAACAAAAAAATCCAGAAAAACGCATGTCAAAAATGTTATAAATTGATTTGCATTTTAATGAGGGAAATAAGTATTTGACCCCCTCTCAATCAGAAAGATTTCTGGCTCCCAGGTGTCTTTTATACAGGTAACGAACTGAGATTAGGAGCACACTCTTAAAGGGAGTGCTCCTAATCTCCGTTTATTACCTGTATAAAAAGACACCTGTCCACAGAAGCAATCAATCAGATTCCAAAGTCTCCACAATGGCCAAGACCAAAGAGCTCTCCAAGGATGTCAGGGACAAGATTGTAGACCTACACAAGGCTGGAATGGGCTACAAGACCATCGCCAAGCAGCTTCGTGAGAAGGTGACAACAGTTGGTGTGATTATTCGCAAATGGAAGAAACACAAAAGAACTGTCCATCTCCCTCGGCCTGGGGATCCATGCAAGATCTCACCTCGTGGAGTTGCAATGATCATGAGAACGGTGAGGAATCAGCCCAGAACTACACGGGAGGATCTTGTCAATGATCTCAAGGCAGCTGGGACCATAGTCACCAAGAAAACAATTGGTAACACACTACGCCGTGAAGGACTGAAATCCTGCAGCGCCCGCAAGGTCCCCCTGCTCAAGAAAGCACATATACAGGGCTGTCTGAAGTTTGCCAATGAACATCTGAATGATTCAGAGGAGAACTGGGTGAAAGTGTTGTGGTCAGATGAGACCAAAATCAAGCTCTTTGGCATCAACTCAACTCGCCGTGTTTGGAGGTGGAGGAATGCTGCCTATGACCCCAAGAACACCATCCCCCCTGTCAAACATGGAGGTGGAAACATTATGCTTTGGGGGTGTTTTTCTGCTAAGGGGACAGGACAACTTCACCGCATCAAAGGGACGATGGACGGGGCCATGTACCGTCAAATCTTGGATGAGAACCTCCTTCCCTCAGCCAGGGCATTGAAAATGGGTCATGGATGGGTATTCCAGCATGACAATGACCCAAAACACACATCCAAGGCAACAAAGGAGTGGCTCAAGAATAAGCACATTAAGGTCCTGGAGTGGCCTAGCCAGTCTCCAGACCTTAATCCCATAGAAAATCTGTGGAGGGAGCTGAAGGTTCGAGTTGCCAAACGTCAGCCTCGAAACCTTAATGACGGAGAAGATCTGCAAAGAGGAGTGGGACAAAATCCCTCCAGAGATGTGTGCAAACCTGGTGGCCAACTTAAAGAAACGTCTGACCTCTGTGATTGCCAACGAGGGTTTTGCCAAAACGTACTAAGTCATGTTTTGCAGAGGGGTCAAATACTTATTTCCATCATTAAAATGCAAATCAATTTCTAACATTTTTAACACGCATTTTTCTGGATTTTTTTGTTGTTATTCTGTCTCTCACTGTTCATATAAACCTACCATTAAAATTATAGACTGATCATGTCTTTGTCAGTGGGCAAACGTACAAAATCAGCAGGGGATCAAATACTTTTTTCAATCACTATATATATATATATATATACACATACATACACACACACACACACACAGTGGGGAGTGTGTGTATGTGTGTATATATATATATATATATACAGTGGGGGAAAAAAGTATTTAGTCAGCCACCAATTGTGCAAGTTCTCCCACTTAAAAAGGTGAGAGAGGCCTGTAATTTTCATCATAGGTACACGTCAACTATGACAGACAAAATGAGAAAAGAAAATCCAGAAAATCACATTGTAGGATTTTTAATGAATTTATTTGCAAATTATGGTGGAAAATAAGTATTTGGTCAATAACAAAAGTTTCTCAATACTTTGTTATATACCCTTTGTTGGCAATGACACAGGTCAAACGTTTTCTGTAAGTCTTCACAAGGTTTTCACACACTGTTGCTGGTATTTTGGCCCTTTCCTCCATGCAGATCTCCTCTAGAGCAGTGATGTTTTGGGGCTGTCGCTGGGCAACACAGACTTTCAACTCCCTCCAAAGATTTTCTATGGGGTTGAGATCTGGAGACTGGCTAGGCCACTCCAGGACCTTGAAATGCTTCTTACGAAGCCACTCCTTCGTTGCCCGGGCGGTGTGTTTGAGATCATTGTCATGCTGAAAGACCCAGCCATGTTTCATCTTCAATGCCCTTGCTGATGGAAGGAGGTTTTCACTCAAAATCTCACGATACATGGCCCCATTCATTCTTTCCTTTACACGGATCAGTCGTCCTGGTCCCTTTGCAGAAAAACAGCCCCAAAGCATGATGTTTCCACCCCCATGCTTCACAGTAGGTATGGTGTTCTTTGGATGCAACTCAGCATTCTTTGTCCTCCAAACACGACGAGTTGAGTTTTTACAAAAAAGTTATATTTTGGTTCCATCTGACATTCTCCCAATCCTCTTCTGGATCATCCAAATGCACTCTAGCAAACTTCAGACGGGCCTGGACATGTACTGGCTTAAGCAGGGGGACACGTCTGGCACTGCAGCATTTGAGTCCCTGGCGGCGTAGTGTGTTACTGATGGTAAGCTTTGTTACTTTGGTCCCAGCTCTCTGCAGGTCATTCACTAGGTCCCCCCTTGTGGTTCTGGGATTTTTGCTCACCGTTCTTGTGATCATTTTGAACCCACGGGGTGAGATCTTGCGTGGAGCCCCAGATCGAGGGAGATTATCAGTGGTCTTGTATGTCTTCCATTTCCTAATAATTGCTCCCACAGTTGATTTCTTCAAACCAAGCTGCTTACCTATTGCAGATTCAGTCTTCCCAGCCTGGTGCAGGTCTACAATTTTGTTTCTGGTGTCCTTTGACAGCTCTTTGGTCTTGGCCATAGTGGAGTTTGGAGTGTGACTGTTTGAGGTTGTGGACAGGTGTCTTTTATACTGATAACAAGTTCAAACAGGTGCCATTAATACAGGTAACGAGTGGAGGACAGAGGAGCCTCTTAAAGAAGAAGTTACAGGTCTGTGAGAGCCAGAAATCTTGCTTGTTTGTAGGTGACCAAATACTTATTTTCCACCATAATTTGCAAATAAATTCATTAAAAATCCTACAATGTGATTTTCTGGATTTTTTTTCCTCAATTTGTCTGTCATAGTTGACGTGTACCTATGATGAAAATTACAGGCCTCTCTCATCTTTTTAAGTGGGAGAACTTGCACAATTGGTGGCTGACTAAATACTTTTTTTCCCCACTGTATATATATATATATACACACACAGTGGGGAGAACAAGTATTTGATACACTGCCAATTTTGCAGGTTTTCCTACTTACAAAGCATGTAGAGGTCTGTAATTTTTATCATAGGTACACTTCAACTGTGAGAGATGGAATCGAAAACAAAAATCCAGAAAATCACATTGTATGATTTTTAAGTAATTCATTTGCATTTTATGCATGACATAAGTATTTGATCACCTACCAACCAGTAAGAATTCCGGCTCTCACAGACCTGTTAGTTTTTCTTTAAGAAGCCCTCCTGTTCTCCACTCATTACCTGTATTAACTGCACCTGTTTGAACTCGTTACCTGTATAAAAGACACCTGTCCACACACTCAATCAAACAGACTCCAACCTCTCCACAATGGCCAAGACCAGAGAGCTGTGTAAGGACATCAGGGATAAAATTGTAGACCTGCACAAGGCTGGGATGGGCTACAGGACAATAGGCAAGCAGCTTGGTGAGAAAGCAACAACTGTTGGCGCAATTATTAGAAAATGTAAGAAGTTCAAGATAACGGTCAATCACCCTCGGTCTGGGGCTCCATGCAAGATCTTCGTGATCTTCACCTCGTGGGGCACCTCGTGGGGCATCAATGATCATGAGGAAGGTGAGGGATCAGCCCAAAACTACACGGCAGGACCTGGTCAATGACCTGAAGAGAGCTGGGACCACAGTCTCGAAGAAAACCATTAGTAACACACTACGCCGTCATGGATTAAAATCCTGCAGCGCACGCAAGGTCCCCCTGCTCAAGCCAGCGCATGTCCAGGCCCGTCTGAAGTTTGCCAATGACCATCTGGATGATCCAGAGGAGGAATGGGAGAAGGTCATGTGGTCTGATGAGACAAAAATAGAGCTTTTTGGTCTAAACTCCACTCGCCGTGTTTGGAGGAAGAAAAAGGATGAGTACAACCCCAAGAACACCATCCCAACCGTGAAGCATGGAGGTGGAAACATCATTCTTTGGGGATGCTTTTCTGCAAAGGGGACAGGACGACTGCACCGTATTGAGGGGAGGATGGATGGGGCCATGTATCGCGAGATCTTGGCCAACAACCTCCTTCCCTCAGTAAGAGCATTGAAGATGGGTCATCGCTGGGTCTTCCAGCATGACAACAACCCGAAACACACAGCCAGGGCAACTAAGGAGTGGCTCCGTAAGAAGCATCTCAAGGTCCTGGAGTGGCCTAGGCAGTCTCCAGACCTGAACCCAATAGAAAATCTTTGGAGGGAGCTGAAAGTCCGTATTGTTCAGCGACAGCCCCAAAACCTGAAGGATCTGGAGAAGGTCTGTATGGAGGAGTGGGCCAAAATCCCTGCTGCAGTGTGTGCAAACCTGGTCAAGACCTACAGGAAACGTATGATCTCTGTAATTGCAAACAAAGGTTTCTGTACCAAATATTAAGTTCTGCTTTTCTGATGTATCAAATACTTATGTCATGCAATAAAATGCAAATTAATTACTTAAAAATCATACAATGTGATTTTCTGGATTTTTGTTTTAGATTCCGTCTCTCACAGTTGAAGTGTACCTATGATCAAAATTACAGACCTCTACATGCTTTGTAAGTAGGAAAACCTGCAAAATCGGCAGTGTATCAAATACTTGTTCTCCCCACTGTGTGTGTGTGTGTGTGTATATATATATATATATATATATATATATATATACACATATACATACATACATACATACATACATACATACATACATACATACATACATACATACATACATACATACATACATACATACATACATCTCATTTCATATATACTCAAAGAAAAAATACATTACAAGATAAAGCAATTATTATAACTTATATAACTAGTACATTTCTACCACAGATGTTTCAACTGTACCTCTGGCATCTGAGGGCCAGGCTTCTTATGCTTTTCCTCCATTCCTTTAGGCTTGAGCAGAACCTTCTCTGCCTCTAGTGCCCCGATCAAAGCGTTGGGTTTGAACTTGATGTGGTTTCTGTTGGTGGTGACGAGCTCTATAGTGTGGCCTGATGGGTTCAGGTGGTACTTGGCACAAAGCATGACTAACAAATCCATCATAGGCTTGCTGAAAAACACAAAGTTTAGTAGTAATAATCGCCCTAGCTAAGGATAAAAGGCTGTGTGTATCAAGAGAGAAAACACTGAACTTTTTATGTGGAATTTGCAAATGCCAAGGAGAAAGTACTATCACGAAAGTAGATGCTATCACAGAATACTTTTACACTCTACGTAATAGTAGTGCATTATCACACTACTTTTTTACAGTGATAAAGCTTAGCATAAGGAGCCGTCAGATTGTGCTTCACACACACACAACTGTTGGTGGTGTGGAAAACCATTTAGCAACAGCATCCACACAAAGCTATGCAGCAGTTTCCAAATTCCAGGCTCTGGAAATATAATACCAAAAGTTGAATCCTTATCATAATGAGTTCACTGTACTCTGTAAAAGAAAAGAGGGTGAAGAATTTGATGCTTAATCGTTTTATATTAAAGTTGGTCTCAATTAAAGCTGGAGAGGCAGGGCACAATATACTAATGGAGTATTTGAGTCTTGCAAAAATAGAAGAATGATATCTTGAGTAAACTTCGGTGATGGAGAGTGAAGAGTGTGGGTATGTAGTTTCATACCAGGACACAAAGTCCTTGTTCTGAAAAACAACAAAGCCCTTTGACTGAGATATTAATCTCATGTTTGTCTGACTAGGCGTTTTGGTCTCGGCTGAATTGGTGTGGATGAGAGCTTCACAGTCCAGACTTCATAAGACTAACTTTCATGAAATGTATGTGGGGGGGGTATAAACTGACATGGAATTGTTTTAAGATGGTCATACCATGGATCATTTAGCTATTTGATTTTGAATTTTAGGACCCCTTTAGGTATCAAAACAAATATATAGAATTTCGCCTTTAATACCAAATCCCATAGAAACACATTGAATAATAGTCATTAATGACAAAAGAGACATTCCTTATGATTTATGTTTTGAATAAGGTTTTGAAGTGTGTACTATATATAGGAGATAAGAAAGCTCAGGAAATTTTTTTTTTTACACATATTTAAACCATAAAATGTGATTACTGTGCCTAAAACACAAATAACATTCTACCTTAGCAAGTGGAAAGGAATCAGTCACATCATAAAACTTCTTGGTGCAATAAAATGATGCAAGTACTGTTAACCAAAACCACAGCTTTTACTGCACCACCTACAATATATGACTCAGAGAAATAGGACATTACATTAGAGCCTTGGAAAGTTGATGTAATGGTAGAAGGATGTGCAGTAATCATATGCCATTTTATACTGAACAAAAATAAACATAACATGCAACAATTTCAAAGATTTGACTGAGTTACAGTTCATAGAAGGAAATCAGTCAATTTAAATAAATTCATAAGGCCCTAATCTATGGATGTCACATGACTGGGCAGGGGCAAAGCCATGGGTGGGGCCTGGGAGGGCATAGGTCCACCCGCAGGGGAGCCAGGCCCAGCTAATCAGAATGAGTTTTTCCCCACAAAAGGGCTTTATTACAGACAGAAATACTCCTCAGCACCCCCCCTCCCCCTTCTCAGACGATCCTGCAGGTGAAGAAGCCGGATGTGGAGGTCCTGGCGTGGTTACACGTGGCCTGCAGTTGCGAGTCCGGTTGCACTGCTAAATTCTCTAAAACAACGTTGGAGGCGGCTTATGGTAGAGAAATGAACATGCAATTCTCTGGCAACAGCTCTGTTGGACATTTCTGCAGTCAGCATGCCAATTGCACGCTCCCTCAAAACTTGAGTCATCTGTGGCATTGTGTTGTCTGACAAAACTGCACATTTTAGAGTGGCCTTTTATTGTCCCCAGCACAAGGTACACCTGTGTAATGATCATGCTGTTTAATCAGCTTCTTGACATGCTATCTTGGCAAATGACAAATGCTCACTAACACGGATGTAAACATTTGAGAGAAATAAGCTTTTTGTGCGTATGGAAAATTTCAGGGATCTTTTATTTTAGCTCATGAAACATGGTTGCGTTGCGTTTATATTTTTGTTCTATCTATCTATCTATCTATCTATCTATCTATCTATCTGACGCTCAAAATGCATTTTGATGATGCTTCATCTTGGAAGTCTTTCCAAGGAGGGAAGGTTGGGAGCACTTGGTTGGTGTTTAGTCACAGTGGGACACTTTATTTATTTAGTGCACTACTTTTGACCAGGGTCCATAGGCACTAAATAGGTGCCATGTGAGACTTAAGCCCAAGTCTCACCTGCCATGGACAGTGGCCGTCTTCTCCACTCCGCCTGGCAGAACCACGACCAGAGTCAGGTCCTGTTCAAGTAGGTTCTCCTTCTGGTCCATGGTCATCAGAGGATATCCTGATACAGAATGTCTCTGGGAGAGGCCTGCACCATCCAGGCCCTTCACTGATAATGGGGGAGAGGGGGCCTTGCTTTTGGTTGACACTCTGTCGGTAGGAAAAGAAAAGGGACAAGATGAATCTCACAATAATATTAACTGTTAATACGATATTATCAGCCTGTTGCAGTCTAAAACAATATGGTAGTATTTCACTGGTATGAATACACATCTTTCCCTGATGGTATCCATATAAATAAGAAACGTTGAACAGGTAGAAAAAGAGAATGCAGGGGCTCTGGGTAATTTTTGTCAGGAAAATAATTCTAAATGATTATTTTATTGCATAAAACAATCTGATTACACATAACACTGCATGACATAGCATGAAAGGAATCCTTTCTTCCCAACTTAAATTAAGCAGCTATTAGATGAAAGAGCTTGGGTTCCCTTTGCAAACAAGTCACAAGACACTCAAGAGCAGTGATTTATCCATTAGGCCTGAGGACAGTGTGGTGAAGGGTAACCCATGGAGCATAGTGATCAAAGTCTCTGTTCCTAAATGTCTCTCTCTACAGGTGTCTTTTAAAACCAACAGTCTCCCCTTTAAATCAGCAATATTATTATCAAATTGTTTTTGTCACGTCCCGAATACAACAGGTATTCTTATTGACTAGCCCTTTCCCAACGATGTAGAGTAAAGTGGCATCTGCTGTGTAGTGTGTACAACTGGATAGAAAGGTCTGACCATCTGTCAGAAGAAATGTGTGGCCAATCCTTACTTTACACTAATTACACCATCATCATTAAACTGACTGGGTTCCCTGGGGAAAGTGTAATCATATGGTTGATTTAATTTTTCTTTAGGTTGTATTGAAAATGTTTATCACTGTACAGACAGATTAGCTCTAACCTGACTGCAACTGCTAACATAGTCAGCCAAAGCAAACATGCATGTGTTTTAAAAGGACTAATCTCCTGATAAGATGTCACACACTTTGTCCTTCAGAGGGATACTGTACATTACAGTATGAGAAACTGGCTGTGAAATGCAATGTACATAATGCTTCACTAAAACAATCTATAAATTAAAGTTATTTCTCATTAATTATTCAAGGGGTTATTCAGTGGGGAGTAACAACTGACTAAGCTGCGTGACCTGTAGCCTATTTGATTTCGTCAGAGGTCACCACTTACTTTGAAAATAGACATTTTTGCAATGTCTTAAGTTGATGGGCCCACTAAGCCCTGACTTGAAAGGAATATTAGTTCCTTTGGGGGGTTTCTATTCTCAAATATTCCATGGTTCTAATCATGTAATCACACCAGTAAGCCCCCACCTTCATTCACAATAGTTGCAAAATGATGCAATTAAAAGTCATTTAACAGCTTTAGATTTTAACAAACAAAGTGTGGGGCTTATGCGTCCAGAAGCCTAGAGCCTCAGAAACAGACATTAGACAGGGAAGTAAAAGTGTTAAAATCAACAGTTATATTCAACACAGACACAAAACTGGTCTACAACCACCAGAAATGTCCATGAATAGCCTAGTGACTGTAAATATGTCAACAGACGCCCCCAGCTAAAACAAACACGCTACTGTGGTCCACACCAGGCTAGGGTACAAAGTCCAGAGTTCATGGCTCTAAAAGTTTGTTTGGCAATGCGATTATGGGAATGAGCTACTCTCTCCCTATGTAAATGTTATACCATTCTCCGAAATGATGCCAAGATTTACTTTGTTTCCACACATAGGAAACAACAATTAAGGAGGCATGTCAACTACAAGTTCCAACAGTGTTACTTTAATAGACTCTGGAAACAAAAAGCAGGTGCCAATATAGCCAATATAATAATAATATAAATACTAGTCAAAAGTCCTAGAAGACAAACAGAATATTGTTTGGTTTATGGAACAGCCCTGCTTTTCTCAGTAGCCATAACCAGACACTTCTGAGAACATGTGACAGAGGCAGAGACAAAAGGTCTGTTTTCCTCATCCAAGCCCATGTTTCTGCAGCAGCAGCCTCTGCCCGACAGCGAGGTGACTGGTGAATGATGACAGACAGAGACATGTTGCAGCTTGACCCGTCTAAGCCTACATTTATCCCCAAGTGTTTCCCTGCATATAGCCGGTCTGGTGTACATTAACAAACCCATTCACAACCAGGGAACATGCTCATCGCTCAATAGACAGGAGGAAATGACAGGTCTATGTGTTTTATTGGCCACAGGCTTGATACAGCTGATCCTGTGTATCAGAGTGTATCCTGTGTATGTATACCAGTGGCGGTGGTGGGAGGAGCTATAGGAGGACAGGCTCATTGTAATGGCTGGAACGGAATAAATTGAACGGAGGCAAACGTGGTTTCCATTTTTGATACTGTTGCATTATTCCATTCCAGCCATTACAATCCCCCTATAGCTCCTCCCACCAGCCTCCACTGATGTATACAGAGTTAGATACAGCCGATAGATTGATTCATTATCACTAAAAGGGTTCTTTGACTGTCCCCATAGGAGAACCGTTTCTGGTTCCCGGGAGAAACCTTTTGGGTTCCAGGTAGAACCCTCTGTGGAAAGGGTTTTACATGGAACCAAAAGTGCTCTACCTGGAACCAAAAGGGTTCTACCTGGAACCAAAAAGGGTTCTTCAAAGGGTGACAGTCAGAGAACCCTCTTAGGTTCTAGATAGCAACTTTTTTTCTAAGAGTGTGACCTTGGTAGACAAGTAGAACTAGGCCTACAATACTTATGGACTTGCCAGTTGCCAGACTGTATCAGAACACACATAGTAGTTGTATGAAAAATGTATGCACTCACTAACTATAAGTCGCTCTGGATAAGAGTGTCTGCTAAATGACTAAAATGTAAATGAACTCTGGGGTACCATTGCCAGCCATCAGTTACTGTCAGTCTGGGACCAACAATTGATGAATCACTACAGTGGTGTGAAATATGAAAACAGATGTAGAGTGAAATCACCCTCTGATGTTTTTGCTCACACCTGGTACTGCACAAATGTGCAACGCAGCTGCAGGAAGGTCTGCATTTAGCCTAACTAAAGAAGACAACTAAATACATCCAGACGGCACACAAGAAGGCATCTTGTATTTCCATTATCCTGCTGCTAGATTAGCATCAAAGGCATGTGGCCTGTTCCTTACATTATTGTCTGACGATGCACAAATAGGACTACATTTCAAAGGCATAATATCCAGGTATTGCTACCAATTTTCATATCCCTGAGATGCTGTTGTGTTTGTGCATGACAGAGAGAGAGACCACAGTCCATAGAAGTTCAACAGTAATGACTATATGTCTCCAAATCAATCCACAGAAGTTGATGTTATAGTGTCGTACCTTTGATGGCTACTTCCTAGTCTTTGTTAGGGCAAACAGAGGAGCCATAATTAACTAACCTAGAAACAAGTATTGCAATATAAATTGCCAGCATCAGGGAGGCTGCTACTCACTCCTCTAAATGAATAAGCTGAAGGGGCTGGGAAACAGGCAACCCGCTCAAGCCTACTCACTGGCCTGTATTAAATACATTCTGCTTTGATTGTTACCATTTTTAAAACAAGTAATATCCTGATATGCCATTCTTATATTTGTTTTGAAGCAATAAGGAAGGCACAAATAACATCACCAAAAGGGCTGTCTAAATTCCTTACATTCCAATGCGCATGTTTGCAGCTGGAACGTAGGCATATTCCCGTGAAATTCTTTTTCAGCCCCTTCCACGAAATTCTTTCATAATCAACAGGAAACACTGAGGGAAAAAGTAAATACTTGAAAGGGAAAACAGATTGTTTATGCTTATGACAGACAACAGTGTGCTTGCCCAGTTGAAGTTATGTTCAGTGAATACATGGAGTTATTTTACTCAGGTTGAAGCCTAAAGATTATGAAGCCTTCCTGCTGTTGTAGTCTCTTAACGGCTGTGTAGCCTAAAAGGTCCCTTGGGAAAAGGTAGGTTCATGAACAAAGCGACAAACAAAGTGGCTATGCAAACAGGCCTTCCTGCTCTCCTCCGGACAACACCCTGTGTATTTTAAGAAGTGAGAGTGCAACAATGCATACCACCACCACCAACGTCCACACCACTTTTTTTATTGCCTTGCCTGAGTAATCTACTGTACGGACTCACACATACAGGGTTAACAGAAACTCTACTGTACACTCCCACTGCAGCAAAACTATTGAATCCAAGCAAACTACAACCAGTCACTAGCCACTCAAACCAATGGGTCTTACAACATTCTTATATGACAGTGCAAATAACATGGCCCACATCGTCTTAAATAAGTTATTACCCAGGCATGTACTTTCAAGAATCGCAGCAGTAATACACAAGTGTATATAATCCTAAAACTGAAGGCACGTATCCCCACTATGTTCCTCTTCAACATTGTCTTAGGAAAGAAACAACACAACAAAAGTTAGACAGGGTGCCTCAAGTGACAGAACTAGAGTGCCTCAAGTGAACCTGTATTTTATTTTCCAATGCTGGCTACAGGTTTGAACATTACACATTCATCCTAAACAGATCATCTCCTCCAATCATTAGCCTGTAACGCCTTCTTACCTCTTGGCCTCAGTGATGAGTTCTCCCCTCTTAAATACCTGCCATCTCCACTGCGTTCAAAGACAGACTCTGCTATGCTATGACTGTTGGAGCAGAGGAGACCGGGCTTACCTTAATGCCCCGCCCAGTTGACATCAGAAAATCTGTAGTTTCCTGTATTTTAAATCCCTTCACACAGTGGGACCCCTCAGTCGGACGGTCGCAGAAAGCTCTTAAGCATGGTGTGTCGGTGGAGCTTCAGTTCAGTGAAGTGAAGTGAGAGAGAGAGAGAACTCCCTCACAGTCAGTAATAAGCAGAGGGCTAATCAGCTTTACTTTACCTCCCTGCGCACTGCGCTGCAGCCATGAACCTGTGGGCAGCGCGGTGAAACAACACAGCCCTGCCATCCATCACATTCACAGCAAGTTTATCAACATCCTCTCATATCCTCCAGTCCACACCACACTGTGTCCGCTAGCTGTCTGTCCGCCTTATTGATCCTGGCTACAACAGCATGCCTGGGACGCTTTTCCAATGCTTAATTCAATCAGGTGTTACTTTGTATGTGTTTGCTATTCATTATCCCAAACACAGACCACCACCACACCCTGCTTCTCCGAGGTGATTCACTCTGAAATCACATTAGCAACTCTGTGTGGATGTTACTCCCATGAACAAGCCTGCCAACTAATGAGATTACACGCCTGCTCAGACGTTTCACCTAGGGTGCTCTAGTTGCTGAGACAAGGGTTTGGAATGGATTCCCTGTAAGCTAATCTTGTAATCACTTCTGGATGATTGCTTTCTGATTACTTCTGATGAAACATATCCTTATAGACGACAACAGACTTTGTATTGATTTGCATAGGGCTGTTGAGATTAGGCTGATTTAATCATGTCAATCTAAGATAACGTACCTAGTGGCATTACCTTAGTATTTTTCATCTGATGAATTCACAAGTCTCCATTCGAATACACTTTGTTTTCAACGTCTGATCAACATTTGTATTAAATTAATCCAGCACGTCTGGTTTTGGTTAAATCGGTTTTACTGTGAAACAGTAAAATAGCCTTTGAGAATACAATACTAAAACAGAAAAGATTAGGTGTTTTCAGTGTGCATGGGAAGCTAGGTCTAAATGATGTGATATAAGTGATGTTGTTCATTACAGTAGTGGTTACTACAGATGTCGGATCTTAAATTTGACCCATTTCGTCGCAGTAGGAAAATAGTCCTACAGCAGGAGGATTTAAATATCTGAAGAAATATTTAGAAATCGCCGCCAGTGGGCAGCTGGAAGCGGTGTTTGTATACAATGCAGTACCGTTGCTATCTACATTGTACCTTAGACTGCAGGTCCACTAGGGCACCAGTTAAAGTAGCCTATTGTATGTAGGCTACAGCGCTTCTCTTGTAAATTATTATGTGGATTATAACAAATTGACATATTTGTAGGGGTAGATTTATTTTTCGTTAGGGGAAAATCCATTTTTTTTAGATAAATTGTTTTATTACATGTTCAAGGCAACAAATAGGCAGAATAAATTATTAGTGGCCTCACACATATGCCAGAGTCGGCATGGGTTCGAATCTCAGCTCAATGAAATTGTCTTCGGATAAGCTTAAATGCATAGCTTTATGAAATTACATCTTAAAAGCCACACAATACAGGCTTTCAATCTACAACAATGATGACTTCAAATGCCCACACAAACTGAAAAGTACAGTAGACCTATGCTACTGTAGCCAGAGCACAACAGCTAAGCAATGGAAATCTCACCTATGTAAGGGCCATCCACACCATAACTACAATGCATTCGGAAAGTATTCAGACCCCTTCCCTTTTTCCACATTTTGTTACGTTACAGCCTTATTCTAAAATGGATTAAATCATTTTTTCCCTCATCAGTCTACACACAATACCCCATAATGACAACGCGAAAACAAAATGTTTTGTGCAAATGTATAAAAATAAAAAACAGAAATACCTTTACATAAGTATTCAGACCCTTTGCTATGAGACTCAAAATTGAGCTCAGGTACATTCTGTTTCCATTGATCATCCTTGAGATGTTTCTATAACTTGATTGGAGTCCACCTGTTGTACATTCTATTGATTGGATATGATTTGGAAAGGCACACACCTGTCTACATAAAAGGTCCCACAGTTGACAGTGCATGTCAGAGCACAAACCAAGCCATGAGGTCGAAGGAATTGTCTGTAGAGCTCCGAGACAGGATTGTGTCGAGGCACAGATCTGGGGAAGGGTACAAAATCATTTCTGCAGCATTGAAGGTCCCCAAGAACACAGTGGCCTTCATCATTCTTAAATGGAAGAAGTTTGAAACCACCAAGACTCTTCCTAGAGCTGGCCGCCCGGCCAAACTGAACAATCGGGGGAGAAGGGCATTAGTCAGGGTGGGGACCAAGAACCCGATGGTCACTCTGACAGAGCTCCAGAGTTCTTCTGTGGAGATGGGAGAACCTTCCAGAAGGACAACCATCTCTGCAGCACTCCACCAATCAGGCCTTTATGGTAAAGTGGCCAGACGGAAGCCACTCCTCAGTAAAAGGAACATGACAGCTCGCTTGGAGTTTGCCTAAAGGCACCTAAAGGACTCTCAGACCATGAGAAACCAAGATTGGTCTGATGAAACCAAGATTGAACTCTTTGGCCTGAATGCCAAGCGTCACGTCTGGAGGAAACCTGGCACCATCCCTACTGTGGGGATGTTTTTCAGCGGCAGGGACTGGGAGACTAGTCAGGATCGAGGGAAAGATGAACAGAGCAAAGTACAGAGAGATCCTTGATGAAAACCTGCTCCAGAGCGCAACAACCTCAGACTGATGAAAACCTGCTCCAGAGCGCAACGACCTCAGACTGGGGCGAAGGTTCACCTTCCAACATGACAACGACCCTAAGCACACAGCCAAGACGACGAAGGGGTGGCTACGGCACAAGTCTCTGAATGTCCTTGAGTGGTCCAGCCAGAGCCCGGACTTGAATCCGATCGAACATCTCTGGAGAGACCTGAAAATAGCTGTGCAGCGACGCTCCCCATTCAACCTGACAGAGCTTGAGAGGATCTGCAGAGAAGAATGGGAGAAACTCCCCAAATACAGGTGTTCCAAGCTTGTAGCGTCATACCCAAGACGACTGGAGGCTAATCGCTGTCAAATTTCTAAAAACCTGATTTTGCTTTGTCATTGTGTGTAGATTAATGAGGAAAAATGTAATCAATTTTGGAATAAGGCTGTAACGTAACAAAATGTGGAAAAAGGTCTGAATACTTTCCAAATGCACTGTATATACACACTGTAAGAATCATGGGCTGCTCACTTTTATTGTGCACCGCCCCATGGGTCTCCCGGTCGCGGCCGGCTGCGACAGAGCCTGGAATCGAACCAGGATCTCTAGTGGCACAGCTAGCACTGCGATGCAGTGCCTTAGACCACTGCGCCACTCGGGAGGCCCTGACACTTGTATGTTGTAGTGGAGACCAATATCTATCTTGTGTTATTAAGCTATATAAAACGACGATTGTTGAGGTGTATGGATGCATTTCAGATTTTTGCAATAATAGGACCTATACGCCTATAGTAGGATATTTATTGACATTCTGTCTGGTGCGTTTTACGTTTGAGCGAGCGAGAGCTGGCACTGGTCCGAATGACTCGACTGCCCCTGCATGGAGAGAAAATAAAAACAGTGGGTTTTTATGGCTTGGGTGACAAAATAGTGATCAAATTAAGATCTGACATCTGTAGGTAGCTGAGCATTCTGCCTGATTAGGTCTACTGTACAGGCCAGTGATGGAATAGTGAGTGTTAACTATGGAGCCTGTCAGCACATACTATAGGGTGTCCAATCAAAACAGCATCTGTAATTGTGTAGATAGTCCCCTAAGAAAACCAGTGGTCCAAACCTCATGTCTCTATCATAATCCGTTAGAGAGTTATTCGAGTTTTTACCCTTGTAGGATGGCCAGAATTAGGGTGACTAAATCAATCGATTTTGAGACATGACATGTAGTATTTTAATATATTTTAGTATACGCTTTTTATATTAATTAGATTTTATTTTCACAAAAACAAACGTCTCTGTGAAATGTCAACGGAGCACTGAGCGTATACCAAGGCATTTATTTTCAAAGCCTTTTACATTTAATTCAGCTCATTATGTTAATTTTGCTTTTGCAACCCGAGCAAATAACTTTGAAGACGACCACCACAAAATGTAAAATCCTCAAAAGTTGTTACAAAAAACCTGCACCGCTATGTCAACACAGCTCGGTGCTTATTATCGGATGTATTAGGTTACGAAATGCAACTTTTTGGATATACTGTTAATGATATGTTTGAGAAAGACCCCACTGAACGATTAAGAACATGAATAATCATATTTGTCTTGGAAAAATGAATTTCATAACATAAGGAAGTGAAATGTCATCACCAAAGCGTGTTTTCACCCACTCTGGACAGAGTGGGTGGACACCCTACTTATCACTATCCCCAGCAGCTTACCAAGGCTGCTTTCCAATGCTTTACTCACACAGCTACTCAACACATAATAGATGTTGGACTATTCAACAGGTATATGAGAATAGGTCATAATAGGCAAGCTAAACTCAGAACAATAGATTAAGATTTAAAGCACCAATATGCATGTTGGTGTTAGATTATTTTTTTTTTAAACAGAGGAACATTATCTATGTCAAACATTTTCAGTTCCCATACTACTTGATAATGTCAGGAACGACATGCAGGTTGAAACATGACCTGAAACTCTAACTGAAAAGCAGGGCACAGAGATGCTGCCTTTTACCGTCTATTACACAGTACTTACAGTAGTTTGAACTGTCCAGTGCTGTATTTTGTTTGCTAAATCATAGTGGTTGCAATGGAACAATCTATGCAGGAGGTCACCGTCTGCCTATTGAATATGAGACAAAAAGCAGGAAGCTACAGTTTGACCTTGGGTAGTAAGCGTACAATGACTCACCTAAATGTCCTACATCTTACAATGAGAGTACCAGATCAACACAGGTTCAACAACATCAAGTCTTCTCCTGCACCCTCTGCCATACTATGTACTATATATCTCCCCGTCACTGGTTCTTTCACTTAAAAATACAGTACAATGATCAAGTGTCACACAGTTCATGCTCCAAGTGCAACAAACAGATGATTTTCAACTGAAAAATATGATCTTAGTATACTTCCTCTGTACATACTATTTTGCCTTTAGAGTTTGTCCTTTATTTAACAGAAAAGCCATATCAGACCATAAGGGACGACTTGTGGTTGGAGGCAGTAGTGGGTAGGAATCGGAGCGACAGGGGATGGGGGATGGGTTGCAGAGAAGGGAAATCCCTGTGGAAAGACAAAACACAGGACCAGGGACACAGCTGGTAATTTGGTAAGAGGTTGCTCACAGTAAACACAAGCTGTTTACAGAAGGTCTGGAAAGGCCATTACTTCAGGAGCTGTGTGGGGAGGACGGCAGGAGATTAGAAAAACTAAGTGCACAGCAACTATGAGAACTCCCCACTTCCTATGTGTATACTTTATTATTTTAGGCAAAACAAAACAATTTTCCCATAACATGTTTGTATGCAGGCTTCAAACTTGCTTGGCACATTTCACACCCTTATTTAGACAACGGATAAGTATCTAGGGGGCATTAATAACTTCAGAGTGGCTTAGCATTAATATGCAGTATGTAATAACCTTCTGTTATGAATCGCCTTATTTCAATTCAGTTACATTGGGCACATCCCAAATGGCACCCTATTCCCCTATATACTGCACTATTGGTCAAAAACGTAGTGCACTTTATAAGGAATGGCTGGGTACCATTTGAGACCATAGTACATTCTATCCTTCTTAATAACACTGGAACTCCAGCTGGTAGTAAGTTAGTCAGCCAGTCTGTCAATCAAGGAGATTTACATTTACATTTTAGTCATACTGGCCCCCCGTGGGAATCGAACCCACAACCCTGGCGTTGCAAACACCATGCTCTACCAACTGAGCTACATCCCTGCCAGCCATTCCCTCCCCTCCACTGGACGACGCTGGGCCAATTGTGCGCCGCCCCATGGGTCTCCCGGTCGCGGCCGGCTACGACAGAGCCTGGATTCGAACCAGGATCTCTAGTGGCACAGCTACAGACCACTGCGCCACCCGGGAGGTTACCCAGATCATTCTGGGTGATCCTTGAATTCCATGTACATGACCCTACCCAACGCAAGTCACCGAAGAGACCAACCTAGTCTGACCTGTTCTCTCCCCACTTTTCCCCCCACACCTTATTTCAGAGGTCAAATATGCTTCTACCAGAACTTTCTCAGTATAGTCAAGTAACTTGGCACAGTGAAGACAGGGTGAACATCTGCCAAGCCTTAAGATAAGAGAACAACAAGTAATATGTTCCAGTCCAAGTGAATGTTTAAATCCATTGCTTTTGGCGTGATAACTGCTGAAATTAGGAGCAGTTAGCACCTGGAACTATTTACAGTGCATTCAGAAATTTAGACCCCTTCCCTTTTTCCACATTTTATTACATTACAGACTCATTCTAAAATGTATATATATAAAAAAATCTCAATCTACACAACATACCCCATAATGACAAAGTGAAAACAGGTTTTTAGAATATTTTGCTAATTTATTACCAATAAAAAACAGAAATACCTTATTTACATAAGCATTCAGACAATTTGCTATGAGACTTGAAATTGAGCTCAGGTGCATGCTGTTTCCATTGATCATCCTTGAGATGTTTCTACAACTTTATTGGACCTGTGGTCAATTCAATTCATTGGACATGATTTGGAAAGGCACACACCGGTCTATATAAGGTCCCACAGTTGACAGTACATCACTGGGGCCAAGCTTCCTGCCATCCAGGACCTCTATACCAGAGCTTCAAGTTCCTTGGTGTCCACATCACCAACACACTATCATGTTCCAAACACACCAAGACAGTCGTGAAGAGGGCACGACAAAGCTTATTCCCTCTCAGGAGACTGAAAAGATTTGGCATGGGTCCTCAGATCCTCAAAAAGTTATACAGCTGCACCATCGAGAGCATCCTGACTGGTTGCATCACCACCTGGTATGGCAACTGCTCGGCCTCCGACCGCAAGGCACTACAGAGGGTAGTGCGTACGGCCCAGTACATCACTGGGGCCAAGCTTCCTGCCATCCAGGACCTCTATACCAGGCGGTGTCAGAAGAAGGCCCTAAAAATTGTCAAAGACTCCAGTCACCCTAGTCATAAACTGTTCTCTCTGCTACCGCACAGCAAGCGGTACCGGAGCGCCAAGTCTAGGTCCAAAAAGCTTCTTAACAGCTTCTACCCCCAAGCCATAAGACTCCTGAACAGCTAATCATGGCTACCCAGACTATTTGCATTGTCCCCCACACCCTACCCCACCACCTCTTTTACGCTGCTGCTACTCTCTTTTTAATATCTATGCATAGTCACTTTAATAACAACTCTACCTACATGTACATATTACCCCAATTACCTCGACCAACCAGTGCCCCCGCACATTGACTCGATACCGGGACCCCATGTATATAGCCTCGCTATTGTTATTTTTACTGCTGCTCTTTAATTATTTGTTACTTTTATTTCAAATAATTTTATATTGTATTTTTTTGTGATTTTTTTTTCGTTTTCTTTCTTAAAATGGCATTGTTGGTTAAGGGCTTGTAAGTAAGCATTTCACTGTAAGGTCTACACCTGTTGTATTCGGCGCATGTGACAAATACAATTTGATTTGATTTCAGAGCAAAAACCAAGCCATGCGGTTGAAGGAATTATCCGTAGAGCTCCGAGACAGGATTGTGTTGAGGCACAGATCTGGGGAAGGGTACACAAAACATTTCTGCAGCATTGGATGTCCCTAAGAACACAGTGGCCTCCAACATTCTTAAATGGAAGAAGTTGGAATCACCAAGACTCTTCCTACAGCTGGCCCCCCAGCCAAACTGAGCAACCGGGGGGAGAAGGGCATTGGTCAGGGAGGTGACCAAGAACCCAATGGTCACTCTGACAGAGCTCCGAGTTCGTCTGTGGAGAACCTTCCAGAAGGACAACCATCTCTGCAGCACTCCACCAATCAGGCCTTTATGGTAGATTGGCCAGACGGAAGCCACTCCTCAGTAAAAGGCACATGACAGCCCGCTTGGAGTTTGCCAAAAGGTACCTGAAGGACTCAAGATTCTCTAGTCTGATGACACCAAGATTGAACTCTTTGGCCTGAATACCAAGTGTCACGTCTGGAGGAAACCTGGTGGCAGCATCATGCTGTGGGGATGTTTTTTAGCGCCAGGGACTGGGTGACTAGTCAGGATCGAGGGAAAGATGAGCGGAGCAAAGTACAGAGAGATCCTTGATGAAAACCTGCTCCGGAGCGCTCAGGACCTTAGACTGGGGCGAACGTCCACCTTCCAACAGGACAACGACCCTAAGCACACAGCCAAGACAATGCAGGAGTCGCTTCGGGACAAGTCAATGTCCTTGAGTGGCTCAGCCAGAGCCTGGACTTGAGCCCGATCGAACATCTCTGGAGAGACCTGAAAATAGCTGTGCAGCAACACTCCCCATCCAACCTGACAGAGCTTGAGAGGATCTGCAGAGAAGAAATGGGAGAAACTCCCCAAATACAGGTGTGCCAAGCTTGTAGCGTCATACCCAAGAAGACTCAAGGCTGTAATCGCTGCCAAAGGTGCTTCCACTAAGTACTGAGTAAAGGTTTTGAAAACGTATGTAAAATGTAATATTTCAGGTTTTTTATTTTTAATAAATTTGCAAAAACATATTCAAACCTGTTTTTGTTTCATCATTATGGGGTATTGTGTTTAGATTGATGACAGGGGAAAAAAACAATTTAATCAATTTTAGAATAAGGCTGTAACTTAAGAAAATGTGGAAAAAGTAAAGGGGTCTGAATACTTTCCGAATGCACTGTAGATCCATCAGATACACAGCATAAGCATCAGTTGCCTACACTCTTTCGAAAGAAATGGTGCCATCTAGAACCTAAAAAGGTTTTTTTTCGCCTGTCCCCATAGGAGAACCCTTTGAAGAACCCTTTTTTGATCCAGGTATAACCCTTATGGGTTCCATGTAGGACCCTTTTCACAGAGGGTTCTACATGGAACCCAAAAGAGTCCTCCCTGGAACCAAAAATGGTTTTATCTGGACCCAAAAAGGGTTATCCTATGGGGATAGCCGAAGAACTCTTTTGGAATCCTTTTTGGTGTGCCGCGGAAAAAGAGGAACAAGTTAGTCCTTTCTGTGAGGCCAACATTTACATAAAAATACAGGAGAAGAGAGCGCATTTCCCCTTGAGTCATATATATATATATATATATATATATTTTACACACACAGTACCAGTCAATTTGGACACATCTAGTTTCTTTATTTTTACTATTTTCTATATTGTATAATAATAGTGAAGACATCAAAACTGTGAAATAACACATATGGAATCATGTAGTAACCAAAAAAAAGTATTCAACAAATCAAAATATATTTTATATTTGAGATCCTTCAAATAGCTCCCTTTGCCTTGATGACAGCTTTGCACAATCTTGGCATTCTCTCAACCAGCTTCATGAGGTAGTCAGCTGGAATGCATTTCAATTAACAGGTGTGCCTTCTTAAAAGTTAATTTGTGGAATTTCTTTCCTTCTTAATGCGTTTGAGCCAATCAGTTGTGTTGTGAAAAGGTATGGGGGTATACAGAAGATAGCCCTATTTGGTAAAAGAACAAGTCCATATTATGGCAAGAAGAGCTCAAATAAACAAAGAGAAATAACAGTCCACTTTAAGACATAAAGGTCAGTCAATACGGAACATTTCAAGAAATTTGAAAGTTTCTTCAAGTGCAGTCACAAAAACCATCAAGCACTATGATGAAACTGGCTCTCATGAGGACCGCCACAGCAATAGAAGACCCAGAGATACCTCTGCTGCAGACGATAAATTCATTAGAGTTACCAGCCTCAGAAATTGCAGCCCAAATAAGCGCTTCACAAAGTTCAAGTAACAGACACATCTTAACATCAACTGTTCAGAGGTGACTGTGTAAATCAGGCCTTCATGGTCGAATTGCTGCAAAGAAACCACTACTAAAGGACACCAATAAGAAGAAGAGACTTGCTTGGGCCAAGAAACACGAGCAATGGACATTAGACTGGTGGAAATTTGTCGTTTGGTCTGGAGTCCAAATTGGAGATTTTTGGTTCCAACCACCGTGTCTTTGTGAGACGCGGTGTGGGTGAACGGATGATCTCTGCATGTGTAGTTCCCACCGTAAAGCATGGGGGAGGAGGTGTTATGGTGTGGGGG